ACACAATAGAAGTCACAATAATTTCAATACAAACTAATTTTACCTTCCCTAACTATGAAATGTGTCAAGTAAGCATGTAGTAATTCACGATAGAAATCACGATAATTCCAATACAAACTAACCTTAATACATTGTAGTTACCATAATAATGAGTAAGTTATGTAATGGAATTTTTTTACAGTAACTCAGTGGAAATATAACAATTCCAATACAAACTAACTCGATCTTAACCACGTACTGTGGTCACTGGAATAACAAGTTCTGTAGCAGAATTTTTTACAGTCACTTATGGCAGAAATTATGATAATTTCAATGCGAACTGTGTGTACAGTATTGTGAAAATTGGTAAATTTGTAATAGAATTTTTTGATAACTCGATTAATAAGATTGGTGGCGCAATCGACTAGTGTATCTTTATTCAATTGCTACAAGGAATGGTTATCTATGGACTATCTTCATATTGTCCATATTTATTTTATTGGAAGTAAGGCACTTAGTCTAAATTCCGAAATTCCGGATAGAAAGAGTAAGGTCGAAACCAAATATGAAAATTTCGGCAAAGATATAAATCTAATAAAATTATTTGTACTAATAAATATTGATTTTTAATTTTTATAAAGTTTTACAAATCTTGGTATATATCTCATAACACTTTAACTTACTGTTTTAACCTTTTAAGCTAAATAGTCTTAAAAGAAAAATATTTCGATATATATAATTGGTACGTGTATATTTTTTTCTTTAGTGCTGATGGTTTTGAATATTTAACTTATAAATTATATTATAAAAATTTCTTTTATCATCAAGTTAATGCAAGATATATGCGCTCACGATATATACTAGAATTGTGACTATATTGGTTTTTAAAAGCTTGACATCAACATTCATGTGCAAATAGTACATTCTTTTTTTACTCTTGCAATTCAAGTTCGAGATCGAGATCTATTTTATACTGTTTACATTTTTCAAAATAGAGTCCATGCAAGATACAAGACTTCTGCCCGCATGAATTATCTTTAAAAAGCATATTGAAATAATTATGTAAATATATTAGCATATTTAAAATAACAATCTAAAGGTACTGCATTATTTACCTCCTTGAAGGTGGACCTGTCCTGATCCAATATTTGGATTTAAGCACCAATTAAAGGTAAGAATTTGTGCCATATTTTTTTGGTTTATTGAATTCTCTTGAGAAAAGTTTCTATTTCTATTATCCTGTTGATTGCGTCTTTCTTCCAATAATCTACGCTCTTCTTCTAGCGACCTGCGTTCTTCCTCTAACTTTTTGCGCTCTTCCTCTAGCCTTTTGCGTTCTTCTTCTAACCTTTTGCGTTCTTCTTCTTGCCTTTTGCGTTCTTCTTCTTGTTGTCTGCGTAAACGTTCTTCTTCTTGTTGTCTATGTTTACGTTCTTCCTCCAGTTTTTTGCGTTCTTCATCTAGCAATCTACGTTCTTCCTCTAGCCTTTTACGTTCTTCTTCTTGTCGTCTACGATTACGTTCATCCTCTAACTTTCTGCGTTCTTCCTCTTGTAGTCTACGCTTACGTTCTTCCTCTTGTTGCCTACGTAAATGATCTTCTTCTAGTCTTCTGCGTTCTTCCTCTTGTTGTCTACGTTTACGTTCTTCCTCTTGTTGCCTACGTTTACGTTCTTCCTCTTGTTGCCTACGTTTACGTTCTTCCTCTTGTTGTCTACGTTTACGTTCTTCCTCTTGTTGTTTACGTAAATGTTCTTCCTCTAGCTTTCTGCGTCCTTCTTCTTGTTGTCTACGTCTACGTTCTTCTTCTAACTTTCTGCGTTCTGCTGCCTCTTGTCTCTGTTTACGTTCTTCTTCTTGCCTTCGCTCATATTCTTCCTCTTGTTGTCTCTGTTTACGTTCTTCTTCTTGTTGTCTATGTTCATATTCTTCCTCTTGTTTTCTACGCATAAGTTCTTCCTCTTGTTGTCTTTGTCTAGATTCTTCCACCAGATACTTGCGATCTTCTTCCAATTGTCCAAGTCCTTCTTCTGCTGAATTATGCTGAGATGTAAAATCTTCAATTATAGTATTATTGGAAAAGAATTTTTCCGTAGGAGTGCCCTCATCATATAAAAATTCATAATCATCAGTCCAAAAGATATGGGTAGCGAATTCATATCGAGCACGAAATTCCAGATATATAGGTATGTCAGACTTTTTAAAAACTGAAATTTCAAAATAATATATGTCTTGCTTGCTGGAAAGAGTATGTAATCGTATTGCAGTAACGTTATTAATTCTAGCCCAAGAATCCGTAGTATATTCTATAGTGACTATTTTTTCTTCGTTAGAAGCTTGTACTACAACCTCCCCGTAAAAATCAATAACACTGTCTCTTTCAGAATATTCACTTTCTCTTTCACCAACCACCCTTATAGAGTTTACGAATATATTGTTTGTCATTTGAAAAATAGAATTTTTTTATTTTGGCTTTTGTAACTCGGATAAGGTGAAATTGAAATTTGGAATTGCTAATCTAAATAAAATCCATACTTATTTTATATTAAATCTGCATCCAGAATTAGCATCAAAGTATCACAAAAAATTTAAAAAGAAACAATCAACGGCGCCGAATGTAAGCTTTATTGAGCAAATTTGAAAGGGTATATGTAGAGGAATTAGGGTATCAGTTAGTGTTCCGATTCGGATCGGTTTGATCCGGTATTGAATCGAAAGCGACTGAATCCGAAATTCGGGTTTGAATTCGGAGCAAATCCGAAGTATTCAATGGCTAAATATTTTAATATTGGTCGACTTGGAATTTATATATTAGTGCAATGCGAAAGAAAAAACTGGACTCAAATATCTTAATCCGGGCAATCCAAAACTTTTAGTTCAACCTGATTTTACGGTTCGGATTGGATGTTAATCCGAATCCATCGAATCTGGATTATTCAGAACACTAGTATCAGTAATATAAATTAGGACAAGCACACAGAAATTAACATTTTTGGAGAAAAAAAAACCAAATCTTACATAAAAAAGAAACATGCTAGTATTCGATCTTCAAATATATATATATATATCAAAAGTTCTATATCTTCATATTATCTAAGTTATTTCCGGTAAAATTTTTATTATTACATGATTCAATATGAATAAAAATATTAACATGACAGTAATATCACGTGAAGAAAAGCAACTACACGATTGATTTGTCAGTCATATAATTATCATTATACACATTTGAGAATGTAAAGTTTCATTAAAAGGACAATAGTAAAGCAATTTTAGTGGCATTAATAATGCTGCGATTAAGCATTCGTACTACTGTACATATAATCGTCGTAAAAAGTCAGGTAAAACACGTATGTACGTTGTTGTAACAAAGGGAAAGACTCGTTCATTACTATGCCAGTTTATCTCAGGGGTACGAACATAAAACTGGGTTACAATACGTTAAAAGAAAGTGTATTACGTAG